TAACTCATCTTGGCACAATGCTTGCTTCTATTTTCTCCTAGGGGCTGTCTAGTTGGGTAAATAAAAATAATATTTTTATTTTTTTAATATAATTTCTCTTCAATAAAATTTTTTTATATTTTTTTATATTTTTTTATAAATAAATTTTCTCTCAATTTTTTCTATATATAGGCGAGAGTCACTTACAACTTTTTCTATAAGTTGTCTCAACGACTGGAACGGCGTCCCCCGGAGTGGGACAATAATTCACTTTAAGATAATCTGTTTGGTAGATTAGGACGCTTCCATTAGGGATCGACCCAAACGTGGAGACTCTATGAGCCAACTTAACAGAATTCAATATATATGACTTCATTTCAGGGAAAAAAAAAAAAAAAAGCTGAGGATGAAAAGAAGATTTTAGTAACAAAACAAGGAATTAAACTTAAGAGGTAAAAATAAGATTAAATTAAGAAGTTCACAATGTAATTAATTTAATAATAATCTTTTTTCAATGAAAATAAAAGAATATAAGTTTCAATCAAGGTTTTTAAAATCAGACCGGATTGATCGGTTGAACCGGTTAGACTAGTATTCGATAATGAAAATGGTTTGGTTTACACAAAAAAACTGTTTGAGGTCAAAACCAGTCAAGAACTGGTCAAAACCGGTCAAAACCGGTGAAACCGGTAGAACCAAAAAAACCACTTATTCAATTTCTCATGCAATTTTCTTTCTATTTTTTCCAATTTCACCCTCACCTTTCTTTTCTCATACCGATTTTAACCTTTAATTTTAATAAAATTACAAAATTACCTGCCCCTCTCATCAGATTTCCCTTGTTAATTGGACCGGTCAATTCACCGGTTCAACCGGTTGAACTGGTCAAACCAAGAACCAGACCCAAAAATGGTTCAATGATCGGTTCCGTTTTACAAACCTTGGTTTCAATAATATTATATGCATTAACTCATTCAATGACATGTGATATTTAATTAAGAGAAATATGAAATTTTATCAATAAATTATTAGACATTAATTGGTACACCCTTCATTCAACTTACTACATAACATATTTCTTAAAATTTTATTATTTTTTAATATGAAA